AAAAGGGAGCTTGACTCCCGAAACACATTAGCTTTCCTACCAGATGGCTCCGAGATGAGACAGGCCTTTCTTACATATGGCTGCTTTTTTCATGCGTTTGTCAGTATATTTTTGTCTCTTGGCATTTGATTAAATTTTATGAAGGTAATGCACGAGGAGTCCGCGCCTTTTTGTGTGTGTTTTTACTGTGCTGGAACCAGGGGCGGACTGACAACTCATGGGGCCCCTGGGCAATAGGGGATCATGGGGCCCCTGTGTCTTTGCCCAAACTCAAAAAAGCCTATGAAAAAGGTACCAGGGGCATCTCATGGGGCCCGCTTCTGACCCCGGGCCCTCGGGCAGTGCCCAAGTTTCCAAATGGTCAGTCCGCCCCTGGCTGGAACTCAACCTGTTCTCATCCAATGAGCAGACTCGTGCTCACACCTCCCCCCCCATAGCCATTCACTGGTGTCTTCCCCCACTGCTGTTCAGGGGCGGACTGACAACTCATGGGGCCCCCGGGCAATAGGGGATCATGGGGCCCCTGTGTCCTTGCCCAAACTCAAAAAAGCCTATGAAAAAGGTACCAGGGGCATCTCAAGGGGCCCCCTACTGACCCCGAGTTTCCAAATGGTCAGTCCGCCCCTGCTGCTGTTTCTTCTTCCCCAGTTATCCTTATGCAGCTGAAAATAGACGGCATGTGATCACTTATAGAAAAAAGGGAAAAAATTTTTTTATTTTTTTATATATATATACACAAATGTTTTATCTTTCATTTCTATTTTAAACTGAATGGGTTGTTTTACAAGGTGAGGGTTCACATATACTACTATGTACTAAAAAGGAACAATTAACTACAGAAAAAAAAATAAGACGGTATGGTTAACTACAAGTCTTATTCTGCAAATTATCCCTGTTTGAAAGGCACTAGAATTATAGATTAGAGGCTAAACAAAAAAAAGGGAAGACGGTGATACAAAAGAAATGAATAAAAATGTTAAAGGTTTTCTAAAATGTTAACAGAAAAAAAAAACCAATTTAGGGTTGATTAAAAAATTAGCAATTTGTCCCGTTTAGAAAGGCACCAGAATCATGTTACTTTTACAAGCATGGTTGCTTTTTCTTTTTTGCAATTTGCTGGTACAAACATGAACAAATGCAAATGTAAGAGTTTACATACGAACATATAAATAACAATTGGGGGAAAAAAAGGTTATGGAGAAGGAATGAAGGAGTTAATAAAAGTCCTTACAGCGGACCTCCACCCAAAAGGGGAAGTTCTTCTTGGTTCCCCACCCTCCACTGCCACATTTGGTACTTTTTGGGAAGGAGCAGGTACCTGATTTTGACAGGGAGCTCCGCTTTAACATTGTGCTAAAATGTTGAAAAAATGTTTCTGTTTTTGGGTCCTTTTCACATGGACAGACCCGTTTAGCGGATCCTCTTGCTCAGCGGGGGATCTCTCTGCTGATCCCCGCTGAGCAAGCAGATGACAGGTCTGTGTCCGGTCCACTGCTGCTGAGGAGAAACAGAGCCGCTCGCTCTCCTCAACGAGTGGTCAAGAGAAAACAGACCGTCTTTGTTTCCATCTGACCCTATCCAACAGACGGATGGAAGGGGAGTTGGATCCCCATCCATCCCTTTTTATGCAGGTCAGATAGGATTGGATGTTGGACACATGTCTGTTTACACCCGTTGCTCCATAGAGGAGAATGGAGGTTTCGATCGGGCCCACCTGAAAAATGGGCATGAGGACCTGATCAAAACGGGGAGGCAGACCCGATTGGAAGTCCATATGAAAGAGGCCTTTGTGTTTACTCATAACAGCAATGCATGAGTGAAAGCTACAACAGTATCTTTCATTCATAAATGAATTCAGAGCAGGATCTGATCTGTCAAACTGACAGCTCAGTCCAGCACTGATAGATGTGCACGCTGGAAAATTTAGAATTTTTTTTTTGTTTTTTTTCAGATGAATTCATTAATCTAAGAATTTCCTTTGGTCATATTTGTTATGTTGAACTGATTCGTATTCAGAATTTCTTTCATATCTCCAGCATTCATTTTATACATTTGTTGGCTTGAGTGGAATCGAAAAATGTAGTAGTTTTTCCAGAAGATTACTATATATTCAATATATTATCGAATTGGACTGATTTGAATCTGAAGGATTCCATATCATCAGGACGCTGGTCCAACTCACCAAGAGTAAGTAAAAAGAAATTTGTAAAAGGCATTAGCACCCTAAACGTACCCAAAAAAGAAAAGAAAGACAAATAAATAAATAATAGGCAAGGAATGATAAACGAATAAAAGGACTCTTTTTAGTCCTTGAGAAACGTCCATAAAAAACCCAGTGGCATGAAGTTCATATTATGGCAACGTCAGCAGTTTCTCTTCCAAGCAGGATCTGGGGAGGCCAGGGGCGGACTGACAACTCATGGGGCCCCCGGGCAATAGGGGATCATGGGGCCCCTGTATCCTTGCCCAAACTCAAAAAAGCCTATGAAAAAGGTACCAGGGGCATCTCATGGGGCCCCCTACTGACCCCTGGGCCCTCGGGCAGTGCCCGAGTTTCCAAATGGTCAGTCCGCCCCTGGGGGAGGCTCCCACCAGCAAACCATGGTGCTAATGCCTTTTACAAATTTATTTTTTCTGTTTATACAACCCACCCAGAGAAATTACAGGAGCTGATTGGACAATATCAACTGGCATCATGTGCATTCGAATTAACGTATGGAACGAAATTTAGATTAATTTGTTTATCGTTTTGGGATAAGAGTTTTACATAAATAAAAGCTGATCATTGTAAGTACCCCTGTCCTTGTTAAATGGTTTGTCTCAACCCCTGTAATTGATGCAGGAGAGCTTGTTTTTTAAAAAAACAACAGATTTAATGGTTGGATCACCAGGTGAAAACAGAAGAGAAAAAAAGCCAAATGCAGCCATCATTAGCTACAATATAATAAATTTTTTTTTTGGTTTATTACCTCTTTTACCTACTCTTTGAAGACATTCTTTTTTATCCTGTCTCTCCAACCTTTACCATGCATCATTGATTGTCACAGACATAAAATGATGATGTATCTGACTACAGTGTTTGCATGCCTGCTTTTTTTTTCTCTGTGTGAACTGTAAAAATGTTGATAAAATACTGGTGTGTTTTAAGTAGGATAAAAAAAAAAGCAAAATACGCACTATTGTTTCTGGCCTGTACTATGGGTACAAACAACAATTAACATACACATATGTGATTTTGTTGCGATAGTCAGGAGCAGGAGAATTTATTTTGGGTTGTTTTTTTGGTGGTAGGTAGTAGCAAGAAACATACAACTAAATTTAAAAAAAAATTTTTTTTACTATTTTGGGCCAGTTTTCCTTTGATAATAAAAAAAACAGGAGATATCCATTACCATTTACATGTGCATCCGAGTTAATGTATGGAACCAAATTTAGATTAATTTGTTTATCGTTTTGGGATAAGGGTTTTACATAAATAAAAGCTGATCACTGTAAGTACCCCTGTTGTTGTTAAATGGTTTGTCTCAACCCCTGTAATTGATGCAGGAGAGCTTGTTGTTTTTTAAAACAACAGATTTACTGGTTGGATCACCAGGTGAAAACAGAAGAGAAAAGCCTGAAGAAAACAAATGCAGCCATCATTAGCTACAATATAATAAATGTTTGTTTTTGGGGTTTATTACCTCTTTTACCTACTCTTTGAAAACATTCTTCTTTATCCTGTCTCTCCAACCTTTCCCATGCATCATTGATTGTCACAGACATAAAATGATGATGTATCTGACTACAGTGCTTGCATGTCTGCACATCATCCATGTCCTCTTGTCTACATCACTCATTAAATCTCCAGCACTGCTCCTCTTTAATTACAGACACTAGTGGGATCACTTGTGAATATGTCCAAGGAGCTGTGGCTCATTAGAGGAAGCAGAGGATGGTTATGACACAACAAGGTCTGTGAGTCATCTGTGAGCAGTCTGAGCTGAGCCCTGAATTAAACAGAAAACCTCAAACACATTTCAGCGGCGAGCACTCAGAGGATGACTGACATCATCACAACCCCCCTCTGTCTGGACTGTCTGCTTCTGCTTTTTGTATTTCTGTGTGCCACTGTCTATCCTCTGTACCTAGGCTGCCTTTCCAGAGCTCTTCTTTTGGTGATTACCTTGCTGCCCTATTAGACACCAGAACAGGTTTCCCCATTGGAAGATTAATGTGATATTAAACCCAAAAGCAAACATTTATTATATTGCAGTTTACCGGTGGCTGCATTCGTTTTCTTTCTTAGGCTCCATGCACACTAGCATTTTTCATAAACTAAAAAAAACGCTGGATTAAAAACTCTGATAAAAGCATTTTTGTGCTTGTAGCAGCATTTAGGAGCGTTAGCATTTTATTAGCGTTTTTACAGTACATGAAGAAAGAAAAACAATTGAAAAAAGCTGTTAGGAACAGCTCTTTTTTTTTCTGCTCCTAAATGCTGAAGATTGAAAAATGCTTCTAGCATAAAATAGAGTCAAGAAAAAAATGCTCATAAATAATTTTGCTTCTAGGAGCAGAAAAAAAATGTTGGTAATAATGTAAAATGCTCCATGAACACTAGCGTTTTTTTCAGCTCCTAGAAGCTATTATCAGCATATTTTTTTCTGCTCCTAGAAGCTAAATAGTGTAATCCTTTGGGGTTGATTTACTAAAGGCAAATAGGCTGTGCACTGCAAGTGTACTCTAAGTGCAGAAGCTCTAGATTTGAGGGGAACATGCAAGGAAAATAAAAACACTGCAATTTTGCATGCACATGATTGAATGAAAGAAATCAGCAGAGCTTCATGTAATTTCAGAGTTTCCCCGTGGATATAAAGCAACTGCACTTGCAGTGCAAAATACCGTATTTTTTGCACTGCCAAAAAAGACACACTTTTCCCCCCAAAAAAAATGGGGGAAAATGTCTGTGCATCTTATGAAGTGAATATAGAGCAGCAGGCCCAGTATTCCCACCACCGCTGTGTTAGAACACCGGGCGGCCGCTCGGCTTTACTGTGCAGAACCCGCTCCTCCATCCTACCTGTTCCTCGGTCCAGCGTTGTCCTGGTTTCACCAGCCATCTTCAATGTGGGCACCCGGCTGTGACAGCTCGCAGCTTCACAGCCGGGTGCCCACTGGGTATGCGCAAAAAGCGCTGCGCTTTGTGCATGGCCCCGTAGTCTTCTGGGACCTGTCATGTGTCCCACAAGATTACGGGGAGGACAACTCCGCGGAAGTGGGAGCGGGTACCTGTCAAATTCTGTTACCCACTCCCCAAAGGTCTGCAGTCTCTGGTCATCTCCTGTAGTATGTCCGCAGTCTCTGGTCATCTCCTGTATCTCCTGTATGTCCGCAGTCTCTGGTCATCTCCTGTAGTATGTCCGCAGTCCGCAGTCTCTGGTACTATGTCCGCAGTCTCTGGTCATCTCCTGTAGTATGTCCGCAGTCTCTGGTCATCTCCTGTACTATGTCCGCAGTCTCTGGTCATCTCCTGTACTATGTCCGCAGTCTCTGGTCATCTCCTGTACTATGTCCGCAGTCTCTGGTCATCTCTGTCCTGTACTATGTCCGCAGTCTCTGGTCATCTCCTGTACTGTCCGCAGTCTCTGGTCATCTCCTTGCACTATGTCCGCAGTCTCTGGTCATGTACTCGCTGTACTATGTCCGCAGTCTCTGGTCATCTCCTGTACTGTGTCCGCAGTCTCTGGTCATCTCCTGTACTGTGTCCGCTGTCTCTGGTCATCTCCTGTACTGTGTCCGCTGTCTCTGGTCATCTCCTGTACTGTGTCCGCAGTCTCTGGTCATCTCCTGTACTATGTCTTCAGTCTCTGGTCATCTCCTGTGTACTATGTCTGCAGTCTCTGGTCATCTCCTGTAGTACTGTGTCGCAGTCTCTGGTCATCTCCTGTACTATGTGTTTCAGTCTCTGGTCATCTCCTCTATGTCTGGTCATCTCCTGTACTGTGTCCGCAGTCTCTGGTCATCTCCTGTACTGTCGCAGTCTCTGGTCATCTCCTGTACTATGTCTACATGTCCAGTCATCTCTCTGGTCATCTCTGTACTGTCCTGCGTCTCTGGTCATCCTGTACTGTACTCTGTCCTGGTCATCTCTGTCAGTCTCTGGTCATCTCCTGTACTATGTCTGCAGTCTCTGGTCATCTCCTGTACTCGCAGTCTCTGTCATCTCCTGTACTGGTCAGTCATCTCTGTCTGGTCATCTCCTGTACTATGTCGCAGTGGTCATCTCCTGTACAGTCTCTGGTCATCTCCTGTACTATGTCTGTCCGCAGTCTCTCCTGTCATGGTCTGCAGTCTCTGTACTATGTCCGCAGTCTCTGGTCATCTCCTGTACTGTGTCTGCAGTCTCTGGTCCATCTCCTGTACTATGTCTGTAGTCTATGGTCATCTCCTGTACTATGTCTGTAGTCTCTGGTCATCTCCTGTACTATGTCTGCAGTCTCTGGTCATCTCCTGTACTGTGTCTGTAGTCTATGGTCATCTCCTGTACTATGTCTGCAGTCTCTGTCATCTCCTGTACTATGTCTGTAGTCTATGGTCATCTCCTGTACTATGTCTGTAGTCTATGGTCATCTCCTGTACTGTGTCCGCAGTCTCTGGTCATCTCCTGTACTATGTCTGCAGTCCATTGGTTCAGAATACTTTTTTTTTTGTTTTCCTTCTCTAAAATCTAGGTGCATCTTGTGGTCAGATGCGTCTTATGGAGCAAAAAATACGGTATATTTACCTTTAGTAAATCAAACCCTATCTGTCCATGCACACTACTTTAAGCTATTAGCATTTTTTGAGCTTCAGCATCCAGGAGCAGAAAAAAAAATGTTTTGTAGAGTTTTTTTAAGCTTTTTTTCCAGCAGAAAAAAAACACTAATCGCTCCTGGTCATCTCTTAACAGCTTTTTTTATCCTTTTTTTTTCTCTACGTGTACTGTAAAAATGCTGTTAATATACCGGGCTGTTTTAGGTAGGATAAAAAAAAAGTAAAATACGCACTATTGTTTCTGGTCTATTCTTGGGTACACACAACAAGTAACATACACATATGTGATCTTGTTGCGATCATCAGAAGCAGGATCATTTATTTAGGGTTGTTATTTGGTGGTATTATGATAGTAGCAAGAAAAATACAGCTAAATTAAAAAAAAAAAAAAAAAAAAAAAAGATTTTTTTTTTACTATTTTGGGCCAGTGTTTCTTTGATAATAAAAAAAACAGGAGATATCTGTTACCATTTATCACCAAATGAAAGCCAAATATGCCCTGAGAAAAACAAGGTATAATCCATCTGGCTCCACAAAGTGGTTGTGAGGATATGTACGGTTTTTACTAACACATGTCAAAGTTGCAAAATTGTGCGCATTTGTATTACCCTTAGGCGCAAAGGGGTTAAATACATGTTGAATACTGGTTTTATGAGAGTCAAATCATGTCTGTTTGAGTATTTTGGCAGTGGACAGGGTGGAGAACGGTAGTCTCCGAAAGGGAGATATACCAAGTGTCATATCTAATGGGGGAGAATATCCATATTGAGGAATCCCAGGAACATATTCATACCACTTGGGGGTAAAAGGCCCATGTAGACCTAATAACGAATGTGTTAGGTCCACAATTGGAGGTGAGCAGCTTGGAGTACAGGTGGTGAGATCCACTTGCATGTTTGATGTGGATTTGCTGTGACTCTTGAGCACAGAGTGGAGGAAGATATTGTCTGCATAATATTGCCTGGGACTATTAATATTGATTCTGGACTTTCAGTTATATGCACAGACTAATCAGCTTTTTATCACTTTTATTAATAATTATATTGTGTGTATACATATATTGATTATCTAACACTGAATTTTGAAACAGTACTGTATTTTTAAGGAACTCTGCATGACACATACATACACTCACCGGCCACTTTATTAGGTACACCCTGCTAGTGCCAAGAAAATCTCCCCCCACACCATTACACCACCACCACCAGTCTGAACTGTTGATACAAGGCAGGATGGATCCATGCTTTCATGTTGTTTATGTCAACTTCTGGCCCTACCATGTGAATGTCACAGCAACCAGTCTGCCCATTCTCCTCTGACATCTGACATCAACAAGGCATTTTCGTCCACAAATCTGGCGCTTACTGGATATTTCCTCTTTTGCGGACCATTCTCTGTAAACTCTAGAGATGGTTGTGCTTGAAAATCCCAGTAGATCAGTTTTTGACAAACTCAGACCAGCCCGTCTGGCACCAACAACCATGCCATGTTTCAAAGTCACTTAAATCCCCTTTCTTTCCCATTCTGAAGCTCAGTTTGAACTTCAGCAAATCATTGTCACTGCATCTACATGCCTAAATGCATTGAGTTGCTGCCATGTGATTGGCTGCTTAGCAATTTGTGTTACCAAGCAATTGAATAGATGTACCTAACAAAGTGGCCGGTTAGAGTAATTGTTCTACTGCTGTTCACATATAACTGCTCACTGCTCATACTAGTGGTTACTTGAAGGGCTTCTAACTGGCCCTGGGCCCAGGCATTTTGCTCCCATGGTTGATGGCTCTGGCCGCAAACAAGCTGGACACAGCTATAATGTCCAGTTTGTATAAGGCCGTAGTACAGAATACTGCTGTGTCTAGATGCTGAGTTTAGTCGCATCTGAATGTGCCCTAATGTGTTTTTTTTGTATATTTTTTGTTTATTTAGTATGTTCAGAACAAAATATATATATTTGAACTGGGTACAAAATTCCAATTATTATTTAATGTTTACCATGTGAAACCTGCAGGTGGAAATCTCTAACCACCAACACCAGCTTTCTCAAAGCTATTTGACAACTACTGTATGTCAAGAATAGCCTGGTAAGCTGATAGGTGGATATAAATGGGCTACTAATTACAGGAGATGCTGCTGATTACAAGTATAAGTTGTGATTACTGGACTGCTACCTACAATGTGATAATAAGTATTTTCACCATTCGGAGTCCTGCACTGTGCTGTGGAGCAGAGCAAAGGATCAAGATGTACCAAATGAACTGCTGTAACCATCAGGTATGTACTGCATCAGGTCATGGTATTCAGGTAATTACTTTAAGGAAGGGTAGATATTGCCCTACCTATACATTTTAACCAGAAAGAAACTTTCATCGCCACCCTCCTATTTTATGAACAACTTGAAGGGCAATTTGTTCCTAGCAGAGGTCTAACACAACAGGCAGGCAACTTAAGGAGGTCCCTGTGTTTTTTGTAAAACAGAGCTTCGCAGCCTGAGCTGATGTATTGACTTTTAACAATTCACCTTAAAGATATATTGACTGGATGCTATTATGAAATTATTCACTTGTCATTTTCACTAGAATCTCAGAAGAAAGTTTAAAGTAACACTGGAGAATGTGGATTCTGGTCAGCCAGACCTAGAGGAGACTCTGAAACTGTGGATTGAAGAAAGCAACACACAATAAAATGTTGCAATAGTACATCACCTGCCTGGTCCACCCATATACATCAGATGTGGCCTTCACTGTCTGTTGAAGATTTAGTATGTCCTTCTGACCCACTCTGATGGGCAATACCTGTAATACTACATTATTGAAAGATGCTCCTGATTAGCTTCTATGGATTTTATCAAAATATAGCTGGGGATGGAAATGGTGTACAGGTAGACTCAAAGTGAAATTGCTGGAATTTGTAGACAAAGCCTTTTTAGTCCTTCAAAATCTGCACTGATTGGTCCACTGTTGAATGTAATACGGTGGGGCTGAAGGTGAGCAATTGTAAAAATGAGGTCATAGTACTCACTTTAAAAGACAGAGCACTCACTGTGGGGTGGTATGGCCTACAGTAAAGTCCTCAGGTACTTAGGGATCCTGTTAATGAGTGATCGAACAAAACTTTTTAGGTCAACGCAGGGGCTGCAGTTTGTAGACACTCTGTAGAGGGAAAGCTTGGGCCTAACTTACTGAAAAGGCTTAGGGCCTTTTCACATCCCTTCCTTCACCAGTTGAGTTAACTTATGGGCTATGCAGCTGAAACAAGCTACTGGATTTACGCATGGTAGGTTCAGTAATGTGGCATGTTTGAATTCAGACAATGCTTCTATGAAATGCAAGGTTCCAGTTGAGTTTTTTGAACAACTAACAGAGTTAGATATACCATACCAGGTACATTTTGAGGAAGCCACCAAATGCACTTCCTCTCTCAACTACCTTGGAAACACTTTGGAAACCCTTAGGAAGAGCTGCAGCTGTATGTTAAAAGATAAGTTCATCTTTTGGGAAAAAAATAAATGCACATATTTTTGCAGGATAAAAAGGTGCATTTATTATTATTATTATCAGTGGATCAGGGGTACAATGCCAGGCTCCTGCAGACAAGCCCATACCTTCATATAGGCTGACTGTTTACAAGCTGCAGGGCTTATGAATGAACTACAAGGCCACTCATCAGTGACCTCACAGTACATTTAGAACTACACGCCGTCATCCGCAATGGCTGATGGTAGTTGTAGTTCATTGATTCACTGGAAACTGTGAATGAATGACGTGGTCATGTGGGCAGAGCAACCGCGACCACATTATTTTCAAATAGTGACAGTGGGGCGCGGGGAGAACATCTACCAGCTGCTGGCACATGTTGTTTGTTCCAGCTTACGGGTAGAACATGTAACATGTTCCATTAGGCAAACCTATCCTTTAAATGCAACAACACACAAACACATCGGTGTGACAGATCACTGCATCAGAGTTCCTATAGAATGTGGTACAGTTGCTGAGCTCTCCCTTTATG